CGATTCATTACATGAAACTTAGGAAGATATTAATACATATTTTTAAAACATTATTTTTCTACTAAGCTTTCGTCTTTTATCTATTGTAGATTTAAATTCATCAATAACTAAAACAAACGAATCCAATTATATCACCATGCATGGTGTGTGTGAATAGTTATTTTGTATGTTTATTACGACTGGACCTGGCTAAAACAATAAACTCATCAATATTTTTTAGTGTTCTATTCCTGAATAATTATAAACATTAAATTCATAGTAATGTTATAAACATTAAATTCAATCTCGAAAGTGGGAACTGGGAAGTAAAAGTGGACATACACCACAATTCAATAATTTCAATGAAAAAATTTATTATTTTCAATAAAAAAATATATGTAATAAATCGAATTAAAAATTATTTCCTGGGGGAAACTTAAAAATATGTAAAGAGTAGTTTAAGCCTGCAAGTTCGTCTGCCTGGACTTAAAAATCAGAATTAAAGAGAAATATATGAATTAAGATTTGTTTAAATTAAACATGGTAAGCAACCATCAACATCTTCAATCTGTCATGTATCTACACGAAAATTAGAGATTAATTATTAGCTTATGTCGAATTGGGACAATTAGGTGACATAACTTTAAAATTTGGTCAAAATCGGTTTCGTAATGTATGCGCAAAGACAAACAAACATATGAAACAAACTCGCACTCTTCATATTATAGTATCACATACATATTATACATATATACATATATATTTTTCAGCCTAACAGAGCCCACTGCTGAGGAAAGGCCTCTTCTCACATGGAGAAGGTTTGAGCATTATCACCACGCTCGCTCAAGACGGGTTGGTGATTTCAAACTTATAATTGTGATATTATGTCCAGGTTTCCTCACGATGTTTTCCTTCACCGTCTGTCAGTATACATATATAATAGTCTCTTGTTCATCATTAGTATATAAAGTAATGGTTGTAACAGCGTCATTTATGTAGTGTAATAAACTGTTTTATCATTGGATGTGTCACGAATTATATTCTACTTCGACCTTGAGCCATAAGTATTAACCCGATGAAGGAGGGAACTGGATCGCGTGCTTCATGCATGTTTGATTAATATAACTTAATACTACATGTAGTAATTCTATTTCTAATATATGAATGTTTGTTTGTTTTAGTAAAATTATGGAACATTATGCATAGAGAGCATTTATTAAAAAGATTGTACCATAAAAATGTTTTCTGTTTTAAGTATTATAAATAAAAATATCAGTTACGTATATCTTTACATAAGAGTACAAATATTTTAAATCAGACTTTATTTAAAATATATTTAACGATACATGTCGCTGTTAATAATCAATTAAAATTTATATAATTATTTAAGACGATAAAGAAATAGCTTTTTATTGTATCCAATTAAAACTAGGTTTTACATAAAAATAATGTACAATATATTTTGATAATTTTAGACGATTGAGACATTTTCGTCTCTTATCTGATTTGAATAAATTTTTAGCGAAAACGTCAAATGCCTAATGAATTCAACTAAGTGTTGTGAATAAGTAAGTGAAATTCAGATTTCAGATTTTCGTCTGTAAGGGGAGTTAGACCGCGTTGATATTTATAGACGAAGGTTAAAGTTAATGGAACTATATATAAACGGTGGAAATGATATAATTTTATACGTCATACCAGGTTATTTTCATTCTAATCGCTACTAATATTATACGAAAGTAACTCTGTCTGTCTGTCTGTTACGCTTTCACGCCTAAACCACTGAAGTGATTTTAATGAAATTTGGTACATATATACAGTTGACCTTGAAAAAGAACATAGGATAGTTTTTATCCCAGACTTTTGAAAGGTTCTCTTGGAAACGCGATTTAACCGAACACCACGCGGTCGAAGCTGCGGGCGGAAAGCTAGTGATATATAAAGATTTCTTTTTAATTTTCTCCCGCATAATGTAATCTCTCTTCCTTGGATCAATAAATAGTAACAAACTGTATACAAATAAATGTGTATACTTAAACTATTCTTCTTTATTCGATGTAAGAAATAAAATTTGTAAAACTAATACAATATCTTTCAGTCGATCTTAAAATGTTATTTATAGCTTTGTTTTCATATTGAGTGCAATGTATATTTTGTAAGCGGGTCGAGTGTTCGAACTGAACTAGGTTCCCCATCGATCCCTAGTTAGCCTTGATACACATGAGATAAGACAGCCGAAATAAACCATGAGGGGTCAACGACCGATAACATTACCATTACCTTCTAACTTACAACTAAATTAGTTTCTGTAACCTATATACGAAATATGTCATAGAATTTGTTTCCTATAAATATATATATACTCTTTTGTGTATTGTAATTTATTCTTATGCAAAAATTTTATCCACTTCTGTTCAGCTAATACGGGATACGTTTTCTTACCTAGTATGACAGACAAGTAATATAATCGTTTCATTATATAATATTTATATTGTACTAAGAACTATGCGTGATTTTTTAGTTTCGACATGACTGTAGCTGTTAGACCTAATGGCTTCGACAACGCCACTGGAAGAAACGTGATTTTATATGTTGTATGTTTTCCATAATAAGGCTATTGTTACACATGCTATAAATTAGCATGCTTATTTTGATCAACATTTGGACACACGTACTAAGTAGCAAGTGCTTAAATGAAGCATGCTTTCGTGCTTGAAATAAACTTGTATAACAGTAGCATAAATAATATAAAATGATATACCTATTAACTCAGTAACAATGATACTAAAAAAAGCTTTTAATTATATTCTGTGAATTTTTTTTTCATTCTTTACAGTACTGTATATTATATTACAATGATCGCATTTCCCTCTCAGGTATACCATTCGTATGAACGACCATCACAAACCAACCCAAATATAAACCCAGCACTAAATTTTTATCGTGTCATTGACCCCGGTATTGTAATTTCGGTGAGGACGTATCTCGTTTCAATCTAATGCAATTTAATATTTAATTTTCTGCGACTTTTTTTAAGAGTAAGGTTTTGATAGTCATTTTTTCTAAGTCATGTAAACAAGGGGAATATACCGTCGCGAAGGTCAGAAGAATATGGTGATAAACAAAAAGCGGTAACATATTGTGCCAAAATTAATAACAAAGGGATATTTATTACACATATAGTAAGTAATAATATATACAGGATGACTGGTGAATTACTATCGATATTTGAGGACGTGATATATGACGATCATATATGACAAAATAAAAATTAATATAACATAAATATTAATAAACTTCTAAGTAAAGTTAACCAAAAGTTATGTAATTAATTACGCATCGTATGAACACCCTACAGATTAGGTATACACACACACTCACACAGACGCGGCGGCGGCGTAGTGTTGTATCAGCACGCCGCCGCACGCGTCCACACTTGGAACACTTGGAACGTGTACACACTTTATTTATTTATACGGAAATTTTGTCAAAAATTAAGTACCTATATTTCTTACATAATTCGAATGAGAATCATGTACCGAGTATTCTCCTTAAATATTGATAGTAATTCACCAGTCACCCTGTATATATACAAGCTTACCATAAGTTGCCATCGACACTATATAACAAAAGTTTGAGATTCATCATTCATAATAAAAATACAATGAAAACTTCCAAGCTCTACGTATACACTACTTTGAAGCCTTCACTTCACCCTTAGTACTCGTCAATCTTTAACTTAATACCAACAGTTTAAACTTTCATTCAACCGTTTCGTTCCTCACATTGTATTGAAACACAAATATCCAATTATACATTCTGTGCTGTTTATTAAAATAAAAGGTTACTTGATGTGACATTCATCAATTAAAAATTTATCAGATGATGTTTTTTCATTTTTATTTCTGTTTAAAATGTTTTCATATATATTATAACATACTAGTTTTTACTGTGTCTTCGTTCGTATGGGCTTGAAAATAAGGTTTAGAATAAAATGTATAAAGAAATTTTACTGTTATATAAAATTTACATATATTTATTTATTTATTATATTTATACCCTGAAATTCCGTATACACTAACTTTTGCATAACTGTATTACCATATAATAGTTGCTTTGTGTATTAGGTCACGTGACGAAACATAGATGTCGCTAACTGTTGGTTACCAATACTATTGTTTTAAGACTATATATATGTACATTTAATTCCGGACCTAATTCCGTATTTCGCGTCAACAAGGTAAAACCAGTATTATTTTATTTATGTTATGATATATTTTTTTGCCGTCATTCTATACGCAAGTTTTTACATATTTTTTGTTCCGATACAAGTTTTGCGTTGTTTAATTAATTCGTATTCCGTCTGTTTGATAAATTTCAAAATTTCTAGATTTCATTTTAACTCTAATAATACTAGATTTTTTACTCTTTTTTGGAATTCAAATTAGTTTTTTCATGCAGGTGTAATGACCTCACCTATACGTCAAAGGTCAATTTAACGTCATGTAGGATTATTATAAATATGTATTTGTGAGTTATTATTGACGTATTTAATTGGTAGAACAGAAACACAATTTTTAACTATAGAGAGAGGATGAAATTTTAATTAGAAGGAATATTCCCATATAGAAAACCTGAATATTATTATTTAATTAATATAAAAAATAATTTTTTGAACTAACAAATTAAATATTAAAGGCAGCATACAAAAAAATCTTTCCTGACGCAGTAATGACGCACCGTATATTATTACCATATCTTGGGACATCTCATATTACATTATAATAAAAAAAATATTAAAGTGCCTTTTATGGTATCATAATCAAAATCTTATTGATTTATTCGAGCACCCAAAGATTATCTTGACATTTGGATCTCAAAATAATAATCCAAACTTCTTTACAAACTTTAATACATTGACACATGAATATTCATAATCCATCTATCCATTCATGCATTCATCCATCCATCTATCTATCTATAGATTCATCCATAGATCCATCCATCCACCCATGACCTACCTGGGTCCTGGCATATCATCCGGTGGTCCATCATCAGCGTCATAGAAGTCATCTTCTCCCTCCGACGAGGAGTACGACGTGTCTGGGACCAACAACGACATCGCCTGTCCTATGGAACATAACAGAAATAGAGGAATATAAACAAATAGAAAAAGAATATAAATAAAAGAGGAATATTTGTGATCCATACATTGCAGTTTACATTGCAACAAAACTCTGAACGTCGTGTCAATAGTAATGATTGCATTTCTTCATGAACCAGGCTTTAATTGCTAGGAGGTTCAATCTTAATTAGATTCAACTTTAATAACATTTAAATCGTTTTTATATAATAGATAAAATAATTATAATACATAGTTGGTTTTATGTACATCGACTTGGCTTTTGTTGATTTGACTAAAATACATTTTATTTCAAGTTCTCTAGAATCAAATGTATAAAAAAGGATTCGATTTTTTTCATATCTTATTGAGTCAATAAATCTGATCAAATACTACGTGGATTTGACATGGATAAAGCAAAAATATACTTCCATACATTAGTATCTTTCGTGCAAATTAGTTTTTTTAGTCAAATACAGTTAGTACTAACTGGGTGCGTCAATATGTTCTAGGGCTGGTCCCGGCAGTGCTGGGGATGTTAGTTCACGACATTCAGAACCCAGCTCCACTCGCGGAGACAGATCTGTAACAGATAAATATGACACCACTGGGATCCGAACCTGTACCTCGATAAAAAAAAGCTCAGTCACGACAAAGTTGAGTCTAAAGTTCAATATGAAGATATATCTGGAGGTTGAATTTCAGTTAAACTGAGTAATGAAATTTTTGCGAACTTATTCAGATATTTTTTTACCCTTCTAGAGTTGTTTCGAGAGACGCAATGTAATTGTATTGTGGATGTCAATGTAAATACTTAATTGAGTGTATATTTGTCTATAGAGGATCAAATTCATAAATATTACCTATCTACCAAACTAAAATAATCATAAGAAATGAGCATAGTTTAAAACTTCTAAGTTCTAACTACCATAATTGTTAGAAGGGTTTCAGATCAGAAATAATAGTAAAAAAAAATATTTGTCCAAAAACAATGATATAATCTATTGTTCCTTGTTAGTTCTAAACTCAAGTCATCATGAGGCAAGAATTCTTTTCCAGTATCATGTTTCCGAAGTGTTGGTCTTCTACTTTTTAAAATCATGTTAATAGCTCAGAAGCATACAATATTTAACACTACAAATTGTCTAAGTAATATAATTATTATTTTGTTTGGTGACCCTTGTTGCATTAATCTTACACTTTCTTCAAATCTACAGCTCTTCTTGCGATTGTTATACGTATATTAGATTCCTATATGAACGGATTTCAAAAATTTTTGATATGTAAAGACAAGTAATATCAATATTGTGATCTCTACTAGACTTTGCTGATCACTTTAGGAGAATTATCTATGGGGCAATATGATATGACTTTTGTTATGTTTTTTGGGGTTCATTGTAACTTTTAAACTGCTATCCAATTTTTTCAAAATCAATTTTATGGAAAGGCGTTAATACTCTTATTCACTGATCTGCTCTATGTGATGTATTACGTGCCATATATGACTGCTTATTAATGGTCATATTTTAAAAGTATTGGGTAAATCAAATGTAACTATTTATAAAATATTATTCTTTCTCTGTTTTTATTAAGTTCTAGTTTGCTTTTTTCTTTAGTAGTCACTTACCTATTTGTGTTATTTAGCTTAAAACGAAATATCTACTTCTAATCATTGGCACTTGATATATTCCTAAGCAGTTTATATTAATATATATTAAGTAAATAGCTATTCACCTTCTATGATATGTGATTGAGTGATGTTCGTTGGTCCTTGGTAGACTCCATTCACAGGATTTACTGTGTTCTGTGGAAAAAAACATATGAATATATGTATGAATATAAAAACATCTATTTAATGAAGAAAACTTAACAATATATCATACCTTAGCTATTTGTAAGAGCACTATGGAATGTTTTATATTGTCCAACATAGCCTGCAAAAAGTTAGAATGAGTCAGTAATTATTTATTTTTCAACTTATTAATAATAAAAAATATTATTTACATTAGAGTGATCTAAAATCACTTGTCCCTTTGTTTTTTCTTGAGGGTCTTGTAGATCTGATACTCTCGCGTTCATTTTCTGTAACAAATAAAGTATACGTGTTAGTATTTAATTCAACAAATATTCATCAATTCATAATATATTTTGTATACTCGACTACGCTCGATTACTAAATCAACTTAAATTTAAAAAGGAGCAAAAATGTTATAATAGCTTCTTAAATGAAGAAAACACATTAAAATACGATCTAGTATGTCACAGATGTTACAGATGGCGTTAACATTAGTAGGATAAACTGCAAAACGTATTTCAAGCAAATAAATATAGGAGTTCTTATGAGCAATACAGTTTTTTTTATGACAAAAAAAAATAGTATAATTATTTGCTATAGTTTAATTTGCAACAGCTTGATCTAGTATATTTAGCATATTATTCTCAACTAGTATTATTCTCTTTTCCCTTTTCCCACCCTTTCCTTTCCCTCATTTTACTCCCCATTTTCCCCAAACAAGGGCGGCAACACATCTGCATATCTACGTTGCAGATGTCAATGCGCGACGGTAACTACCTACCATCAAGTAGGCCGTCTGCTCGGTTGCCACCTTTTCCCATAAAAAAATAAATTCTCACCGATACGAGTTCAATCATGATCTGTAGATACGCGTCCGCCTCAGCAATTCTCCTCTCCAGGTCTCCGTGCCTGTGAGCCGGTGCTGGTACACTCCTGGACCATCGTTCACGACGACAATGACGTGCGATCGTGTCCTCCAACGAACGGACCCATCGCTCACGTTCGAGCCCGTCGCGAGCCTTGAAAGATCACTCCTACTTATTAAATGGGTTACTTATACTAAGGTATTAATACAATATTGTAATTCGCTACACATATTAAATATGAAGGGAATAAGGTATAATTATTGAAGTAATGATATTGTTTCCACATTATTTATAATACTTATGAAGTTAAATGGTTAATGTAAGGTAATTTTTATACGAAGCAGTATTAGTAAATTTTCTATTATTATCTAAGCCCTAAGGTATTAAAATAAGTATAAGGAAATTATCTTCGACTTGTTCTAGAGTTATGTTTATATAAAAAAATACAACAAAACTGTAATAAATAATAAGTCATAATAAATATGAATATTTAAATAATTAATTAATAAAACATGACATCATTATTTTACTTTAATATTTGAATTTAGAGTATTAAAAAAATAATTTACATATAATATATAATACTAGTTTTCCGCCTGCAGCTTCACCCGCGTGGAGTTCGGTTATATCCCGTTTCCAAGAGAACCTTTTAAAAGTCTGGGATAAAAACTATCCTATGTTCTTTCTCAAGGTTAACTCTATCTCTGTCCCAAATTTCATTAAAATCAGTTCAGTTGTGTAAGCGTGAAAGCGTAACAGACAGACAGACAGACAGAGATACTTTCACATTTATAATATTATTAGTAGGGATATATTAATAATTTTGTTAGTTTCGTATATATAATAGAGTATGTTGATATTAAAGCTAGTTAGTCATGTTCTAGAATCGATTTTTCGTTTCTATTTTGCCACACGCCTCGCTGTCGGTCTGCTGCGCGTACTAAAAGATTATATCACGCACGCGGCGTTATAGTATTGTATGGGGAGTGTAATGAAAAATGTTTCATTTGCAGGCCATGTATGTATGTCTAATAATTCATAAATTTTTTTCGTCAAAAAATAGTATATATTTACTTGAATTGTCTTAATAATTCAAATGTTTTTTGATATTCTTTATTAAGTCATTACCGATTTTCCTGATTATAATCTGTGTTCAACATCATAATAATGTAGTGTCGAGTTTATCAAGCGTCATCGTAAAACCGATAACTTCTTATTACCGATTCAAATAATTAAAAAAACTAGTTATACCGATTTCGCGACTAGTTTTTATCTATGAACTTTAATCTATCGCCATTTTTATAGAATCTTTAGATGTTATATGGATAACTTGTTGTGCAAATGTATTATTAATTGTGTGTAAGAATTACGCGTATATACATTTAAAATGAAAATATATTTGTTAATAATATTCTGCTATTTTATTATTATATTTCGAATTTTCTTGACATTTTCATTATTTTTAGTTAAAGTAACCGTTATCACGGGCAGATGGGATGAAAGTGTCAGAACATATGTCAAAACTTGTTGAAGCAAATATATCAGAAAACATAGTTTCATTTCTAAATTACTTTTTATGTAAAAAAATACAGTTTTTCACATTAACTAGAAAAACCATTCGTTCTATTAATTAAAGAAACGTGTTTTTTTTTACGAATCAATAATTAATAATAGTAGTAAAAACTTTGCAAAACTTTAAAATCTAATTGAATTTAAGGATACCGAATAGAATGGCATAATTTTTTTTTACGTAAATTTATTTAAATTATATCCCACACTAAAATGACTATATGAAAATTCCTGTACTACCAATATGTGTATTGTTACTATTTGTCAAAGGTAATGACATCTCAATTCTAGCATTTGACTTGAAATTATTACTTAATTATGATTGAGTATAAAACAGTTTAGTATAGAAATCTCATATCAAATGGTCATTCTATTAAGCATCAAATGTTTCCTCTTAATATGTTCATCTTTCTATCATTTACCGGCGATGTCGCTCGTGTTTAGAAAGAATAATAATAATAATAGTGTCTATTTAAGATATGTAAAATGGAAATTAAACTTATATTCTATAGAATACACTTACCTAAATAGAGAAATAATTACACAAATGTATACAAACTACAATATAAAATATGGGAATTGTGACAATTATTTTATATATCCCTACTAATATTATAAATGCGTAAGTAACTCTGTCTATCTGTCAGTCTGTCTGTTACACTTTCACGCCTAAACCACTAAACTGATTTTAATGACCTTGAGAAAGAACATAGGATAGTTTTTATCCCGGACTTTTGAAAAGTTCTCTTGGAAACGCGATATAACCGAACACCACGCGGGCGAACCTGCGGGCGGAAAGCTAGTACTATATATAAGTTTCCCAAAAGAAGGTAGTCGTAAAAACAATTAGCCAAAGCTAATTACAACATTTAAGGCAGGCCCTGGCTAAAGCTGGGAAATTACCAGGAACAAGGAGACTATAATAATATAAGTTCCCTTTCAATAATGTGTATATGAAGTAACGATACTTCAAGGCTTGTGAATATTCTATCTACTCTTTATTCAGTGCACGTATTGGAAATGTTTTTGTAAACGGAAATTTAAGTGAAAGGAGATCAATGATTCATCTGATGTAAGGTCATCGGATGCAGATCCGTGAGTGATGCATTACTGGACGCAGCGAAATTATCTCGAGGCCGTACCAACGTTTGATGCGTGAAAATTATAAAAAACTTCAATTGAAATTCTCTTTAAACGTGTTATTATAATTTATTTTCTGATACGTCACTTATAATGTATAAAATTGTAAATATTTAATAGTTTTCAGATTGGAAGGATGTATATAACTTATTAGACTGTCTTAGAGTTAGACAAATTTATTACAAACTTGTTTTTGCCCGCGATTTCGTCTGCGTTAGAATTAGAAATGTATGACTGGACGAACTCTAATTCTCCTTAAATACAATAGATAAGAAGATTTTGGATTTGATGAACTTATTTTTTTTCTTTTGCAATTGGATGAAAGTATCGAATGTCCTTTCACTTGTTCTAAGCTATCCTTCCACCAATTTTCAGTCAAATCCGTACAGTCATTCTTGAGTTATAAATAGTGTAACTAACACGATTTTCTTTTACATATAAAGAAGATGTATGCATGAACATATGTATACAGGGTGACTGGTGAATTACTATCGATATTTGAGGACGTGATATTTGATGATCATATATGACAAAATAAAAATTAATATAACATAAATATTAATAAACTTCTCAGTAAAGTTTACCAAAAGTTATGTAATTAATTACGCATCGTATGAACACCCTACAGATTAGGTATACACACACACTCACACATACGCGCGCGGAGGCGTGTTGTTGTATCAGCACGCCGCCGCACGCGTCCACATTTGGAACACTTGGAACGTGTACACACTTTATTTATTTATACGGAAATTTTGTCAAAAATTAAGTACCTATTTTTTTTTACATAATTCGAATGAGAATCATATACCGAGTATGCTCCTTAAATATTGATAGTAATTCACCAGTCACCCTGTATATAAGTATCTTATTAATGTACATTATCATCACCTGGAAGTGGAAGGTCTTGTGGTCGACGGTGATGGTGAAGGTTGAATCATCTTCATCATCGATGCCTATCACCGCCGCCCTGAGACGAACACAACCACGACGCACGCCACGAGTCATCTTCTCTTTAGACTGGAATCATTACAACAACAGTTATAATAGAACGACTGTTGTTAAAGTGGTACAACAGTTTTTACAATTATATTATTACTAGCTGACCAGGCAAACGTTGTTTTGCCATATAAAAATTTTTGGGTTGGTGATAAAGAAGTAAAAATTTAAGGTTGTATGTATTTCTAATGCCACATTATAAAAAAAAAACGTCCAAAACTTAAAAAATAAAATTGGGGTGAACAGCTCTTATCACTTAGGGGTATAAAAAATAGCTAGTAGCCGATTCTCAAACCTACTGAATACGCATTTTAAATTTAGTAGAAATTGGTCAAGCAGTTTCGGAGAAGTACGGTAATTAACATTGTGACATGAAAATTTTATGTATTAGATGATTAATTATAATTTTTTTTGAGAACATACTTTCAAGTATTTATTTATAGTTTACATCAACATCCATACAAAAGAACTGAATGTGCCAATTTCGTTTTATCTCGAACGGATTTCAAAAGACAAGCATTAAACCTCAAAAGACTACGAGATACGGAAGTGTTTCCTTCCTAGCTCTAGCTACAATATAAGTTCGACAGAATTTAAATGTAATTAATATTTCTTCAACATAAGAGACATACATAATGAGATCTAAGATTTTCGCGAGTATTCATTTAAATGAAACTAATATTTTGATCACGTGATTATTTGAAACATTAGCAGTATGTAGTTTATAATCAAAAATAAAAATCGCGTAGTAAATCCGAAAATAATAGTTTCATTTAAAAAGTGATTACATTTCCATTCTGATGCTATTATTACACGTATAGCGTCTGTACGTATCGTTTGATATCATATAATAATTTAAAACTTCTTACAACATGAAGACAGTCTTGTATAACAAAACAGAGCCTATATTTCGCGTTTTCTTGTCTGTTCCAAATGTCATTGTTCGTAAGTAACCTTTGGCACCCTTAATACCATTTGTGTGCGTAAAATAATATTTATTTTAAGGCATAGCTTGTTACAGGTATAATAATTTTATTAGTAATATGTATATATTATGTTAATTTGACAACATAGTAATACTACACTTATGGAATTTCAGTACAAATTTTGACTTACGCTCTATAATGAAAGCGTATTTTAGACATTATAACTACTCAAATATGTTTTAATTTTTTCTCAAGTCAAACACATATCCATATTTTATTTGTCTTACGTCCCGTTCTTCTAGTTATAAGGATGACTTTTTTTATTATTAATTTGATTGCTTTTGTGTGCAATGTAAAATAATAATTACACAGACAATTCTATGAGGAATCAAATGTTTCCTCCCAAATCTTTTATTTAGGATATCACTCGTCTTAAGAAAGATTAATAACTATAGAGATTATTTTAGTTGAGGAAATAATGAAATTAACCATTTATTCTATAGCTTTTAGAAACCAAAATACGTGAAATAATTACACTTGTTGAGCTATAAACAAATCTATGAAAACTAAAATGTAAAATGTATGGGAATTATTTTTATTTTTAACAGTATTATATAACAGATTTATAAGGTGGCATTTATACTGACATTTACAATATTTCAGTTGTTTTCTGTGAACTTATTCAATGTATGAAAAATTATTAGCAAGACTAAAGTCCATGAAGCAAGCCAGCGACCAGGTCCTGGGTTGGTCGGTCATTGATCCGCGATTATCGTAATATATGATAACAATGTTACGCTGATATATACGAAGAAGGATAAAATAGTTCATACCTCCTTGCTTGGCTCATTTATATCGGCGGAATAAATTCAACATAAGGCACTAAATTAAAAAAATAAAATAGAAATATAATTTTAAAATTCGAACATTAGCTTGCAATCAAGACGAAGAATACATGTTCGTGTCTATACCCGTTTTTTTTTAATATTACAATTGCTGATGCAGCGAAAGTCTTAATAAAATAACTTATATGAAATATATTAATTTATTTTAAGTAAACATAAGAAACATAGAAAATTTCAAACTAAACATCCTGTACTTCATGATTTAAATATTATAATTTATAGACACATCAACATTATGTGCAGACTGCAGTGTAACAGTGTTGTGTCATGGAGACAGTGGCCGCTGCTTACAACACCGTCTTCTATGAGCGAGCCGGTAATTAAATTATCAATGGACGCCATCTTTATAAAAATTTCAACTGTGAGTCCGAATTGAGAACAAAAAATATATTTAAATATTTTCATGTATAATTACGTTTACATTTTAAAACAAATTTCTATTTTGTATCTTATAAATTTAATTTTGTATATTCTATAGAAGACATGTGAATTGTTTAAAACTATTACCAAACAGTATTTCCTAAGTCCGAGTTATTGCTCATACAAAATGTCAGGGGAGTGTGAAATGTTAACTTCTGTTTATTTTAATATAAAGCTGACCTCGTTCGGATTTAAATAATCCGGTGATTGTTTATTTCTGATATTTTAAAAGTTTTATTAGCTTTCTTTTTTTATTTATTTTTTAACTTTCGATCGTTCTAAGTAGAATACCATACAAATTAGTGCTAGCTTTGTCACAATTCACAAACAATTAAAAGCCTATACATGTGACGATAAAAAGATGTTAAAAAATATTACTCCACATGAAGTAACTTCTTTAAAGTACGTAAATATGATTTTTGGAAAACAATATACGTATGGCTAAAAAGTATAATATTTAACAAACCAAGTAAATTCGAATTGCAACTTCATTTAAATGTCCACTTGAAAAAATCTTTCATAATTATAAGTATGGATAACTTTCATAGAAAAATAAAATTCACTCAAAGTTATAAAGTTCTGTTTAATAAAATACTGCTCTTAATGTAAATTAAGTTATATATAAAAATTATGGGGGCGGTACCGGTACCTCCTCGTTGGTGCCCCTGGGCAACGTCTGGGTGCGCCACCCCGCCCTTTACACGGGGTGAGGTGCTCAGACGGCTGAACACCAGTCTTTCTCTGTCTTTTCTTTCTTTATATAGTTTACTCTTCTCTTTGTTTTTATATCGTATATATTCTATCTTTCAACGTCTTTCTTCTCTGTCTTTCTGATATTTATTTCTTGTGCGTGATGTATGTATGCGGATGGAAAGGCTTATACGGCCCCTAATCCCCGGTTTGTGGTGCCCGGCCTTGGGATGAATGGCGAGCGGGTGGCTCGTCCCGAGGGCACTAGGGTGGCCCTGCCTTTATAGGGCCAAAAACACAATGGCGTCGGTAAAAAATAGTGATAAACTACCCCAGGAGGGTCCCAGCCCCAAAGAGGCTGGGGAATCCCTCACCGACTCGTCGGTCTGCCCCACGTATTCTGGGGGGGGCAACCAACGCCGAGAGGGTCCCTCTTCAAGGGACCCTCGCAGAGGTGCAGTGGGCACCAATGACCATGGCCAGATTAAAGGATCCGATTTGCTCAATGACAATGGGAAGTTGGTGGCTAGTCTCGAACGTGCGAGTACGTCGAGGACAACGCGGTCCAGTGTGCGTCAGTCCTCCGTCTCGCGTAGCGAGACTAGCCAGCGGAGCGAGGCGCAGGGCGCTCGCTCGACGAGCCAGGGTGGCTCCGATACGGACCGATCGATGGAGACGTGCTCTGAGTACGATATTCCCGTCTCGGTCCGAAAGCGCCCCCTCAGGCCGTCTTCGGACGGCAGCTCGTCGAGCAAAAGCCAAAAGAAGGTGGCGGCTACTACTTCGGCCAAACGGGGCAGAGGACGGCCCCCCACAACGGGGATGTACGTCGGTTTAGCCCAGGCCAAAGAAGCGTTAAACCGCCAGAAGCGCGAGGCGCTCCTTTTGGAGTCCGAGGAGGAAATTGTGAGGCGGGCAAAGAGGGTTGAGGTGGCTCTACCTTCCCTCAAGTCTCTGCCGGCCTCATCTATAGAAGAAGAAGTCGACAAAGCGCTCGAAGCCATTTCAGAAGTCGCCCGGAAATCCGGGAACTTAAAGGGCGGCTACGTTCGGGCGCTGAAGACGTCGACGCAGCTTCTGCGCAGCGCAAAGGAGGTGCTCCTGGAAAGAGGGTCGAGCGACGAGGTTCGCATTCTGCAGGAACGGCTAAAGGAGGAGCAAACTAAAAACGCCCTGCTCCAAAAGGAGCTGGAGGTGTTGAGGGAGGGGCAAGCCCGTTTACGGGCCGACGTGGACCAGATGGCCATTGCTCCCCCCCCCAGAGAACAGCAGGAACAGTTGCTGGAGGAGCTTTCGCGCCGCGATGATGCTCGACTTCAGTAACATGATGGACGCGAAGCTCCAGAGCATCCAAGACAGGCTCTTACCGGAGCCTCGTCTGCGGCCGCCCCTAGCCTCCGACAGAGCCAGAGTTGCAGTTTCGGAGGCTGTGGCAGAGCCCGAGCGCCATCAACAGCGAGTGGCCGCTAAGGCCACTAAGAAGAAACCGGTGGCAGGCAATGCCCCGCGTTTTCTGCCTCCGCCGCCTCCGTCCATGTCGGAGAAATGGACGGAGGTAGTTAAAAAGAAGAAGGCTCCGAGCTCTGGTGCTGGGCTGGTTGCCGCCCCCAAGGGTGGGCAGAGCAACGGTCGGACCGCACCTAGGCCTAGTTCTTCGAAGGCCCAAACAGGGCCAAAGAAGAAAAAGAAGAAGAAGAGGGATCGTCAGCGGAAACGAACCCTTAAAGAGGCGAAGACACCGGCGGTGGTGTTGACGTTGCCACAAGACTCCTCCAGGTCTTATGAGGACGTCCTGAAGACGGCGCGGGCGGGACTCAACCTGGCAGAACTTGGTTTGCCGATGGGTCTCGTCTGCAAGAAAACGGTCACCGGGGCCCGGTTGTTTGAGCTTCCGGAGGGTGCAGGGGAGGAGAAGGCGGACCTCCTAGCACGTAAACTCCAGGAGCTGGTCCCCGACGTTAAAGTCGCCCGACCCGTGAAGTGCGCGGAAGTGCGAGTCTCCGGGTTGGACGACTCCGTCTCTCAGGAGGACGTTCTCGAGGCGATTGCTCGACAAGGCAACTGCCCCACTGGACAGATA